CGAACGGGGCGGTTGGCGATTCTCCGATCAATAAGTATTTTTTGCTTTTCGCCGAACCGCCGTTTCGTCAGGGTTTCAGACTGTGAACAATGCCTGTCAGAGCGGCTGGACTTGGCGCGCCGCCAGCCCGCCCTCCAACAGTTGCTCAAGCGGGTAAGCGACAACAATTGGTGGAAAAAAAACGACTGACACGAAACACATGATACAGTCTTATGACTTGTCGAAAAAAAAACGAAAGGAAACGGGCTGGCATCGCGCCAATCCATGTTTCTACAACCATTATCCTCAGTTGAACAACCTCCCAACTTTGCTGCGACTTAATAACATCTTATAATGCTTCCCGTGCACGCTATTCGCACCCGGACCCAGGTGACTGTTGCTTGTCAAGTAACCTATTCAGCGAATAGTGATCTCTTTGGGATGACGAAGGGGTGTGCGCTTACCGCCCACGCGGTCCTATGAATCAAATCCCGAATCGGTTCGCGTACAGGCCAACCAACCCTTCCATCTCTCCAGGAACGCTAAATTGATAGCAGGTTTATCTGGGAAAATAAAAAAACTGACTTGTACATCGGAAGGTTCCAGCGAGTCACTGTATGAGCGAATTAGCATCCAAAGTACGACTGCGATTCTTAATGGAAGTAGAATACAAAATAAGCTCATTAGAGGCGGACTTTTATCTTTCTACCCTTTCCGGGCTCCTCTATAGTCTCTAATTTTATCTTTCTTTAAGTGAACGATTTAAGAGATATTCGCCGCGAACGTCGCGATTTGGAACGGAGTAGCAGGCGAAAGAAACGAAGCTCAGATTTCATGGATTTTGATGCGGAGAACTATCACTCGTACGATGAGGTAGGCACAATTTGGAATTTGAGCCTGAAGTTACAAATGAAAGTCAAGCATTATATGTAACGCCCAATACAATAGCGCTATATTCTCGTTTGATATTTTTCGCTAGCCAATTGATTACCGAAGCGGCAGCGCAACGCGACCGCGTGCGTCTTATGCAGCGTACACAGGCTGTCGAAATACATAAAACCTTGCAGCTTCGGGTTTATTTCGATATTCTTGTAATAAAGAATGCATCAGGACCCCCACTGCTGGCAAACAGAGTGACGCTCCAATAAATCTTGCAGAAGTCTTCAAGAGCGCTTTCATAGCTTGCTTGCGTAAGCGTTCTGAGCTTCTGCCGCGCTTTGAGCATTCCGAGCCATTACATAAAATAGAATTGATTCGGCGTTTCTGAGCGTCCTCTGCCAGCCTGTCGACCAGGGCCACGCCATCGGCGGGCGTTGTGATCATTTTCTGAAAATTACGACCCCCCCCCTCTTGATTCCATACTAAAATACGACCCCCTCCCAGCTCTCTATCCTTCCTCATCGAACCGAGCCGGTCCGACGCGGCGGCAGGGGCGTGGGGGGGGGGGGGCTGTTGAGGCTGGTCAGGATCCAAACTATCACAAGTGTTCGGAAAATAGTAGTGAGTCCCGTCCTATGAAACTGACCAAATACGACCCCCCCCCCCTACCAAAATGCCAACTAACGACCCGCGCCCTCCCTCCCTCGCGGTCATATACAACACCCCCTTTTGATTATCACGCGACGCATGTGCGTGCCCTTTCTTTCGACCAGCTTCCCTAACATTGTGAGCATATGCTGGAGGGCGATCCACAACGCTGGATCGATAGCTTGAAACGCTGACGCAAAGTATGAACGCATTTTCAGGAATCAATGTATCTTTGTAAACCTTTGAAAACCCCTTCACGTCCTGGCCCTTCATATACCGCCCTACAAAACTACATCTTTCAAAACATTTAGTTTTCATAGATGGTGGATTTCATGAAACTGGTAGCAGAGCAAAAAACTGATCTCGTCACTTTGTTGAATATCTCAAAAACCTTCGAAGGACGTACAATGTATGGTGTCAAGGTGAGGGTCGCGATTGATGGCGTTTTCCGTCCTTTGGCACTAATGACTTTTTCAGATTTCGTCCTCTAATGAGTTCAAACCTGCGATATTCGTTGATGCCGGAATTCATGCACGTGAATGGATCGCACCGGCTGTCGCGCTGTATATGATCAAGAGGGTGAATCTTTTGGTGTCGCTCAGATCACACGTAGATCAATACAGGGGAACTAGATCACACGTAAATCAATGTACGGGAAGGGGCAATGGTGGCATTTTGCTCATGAAACACACCAAAGCTTGCGTCGTACACAATGCAATGTAGATAGAACCTAGGGTAGAATATTTTTCAAAGTTTCTATGGAATCAGAAAGAGGTGCTGCACACCTGCCTTTAGTCGTCAAGGAGAGTCTCATACCAGTTATCGCCCTCGAGCTCAAGAAGGCCTAAAAAACTTGATTCAACCTGATGCACCTGGGAAGCATTCTGAATTGCGCTACTCGCGTACTGGTTCTTGGAGACCGTCGGCCCTGCTACTTGAAGACACCAACCTCCCCTTTTAGATATAAGGATCCACTATTTGATTTCCAAGAGTCTACCCTACCAGTCAAGGTGGTCGTCATGCACACCGGGAACCTACAGTTGAAATAGAGGCAACCAGTTGAGGCGGTTTAAAGAGGGGTGGGATGAGCTCACCCGCGGCGTTTCCACCACTGGTTGCTTCCGTCCTAAAGCGATCTCTAACCGATCACTATCGATGTAAGGCATTGTTCACAGTCTGCGGCCCAGCGTTCTCTAGAAAGAAACGCTCCGGCGAAAAGCTTTCGATACGTATCGATTGGCGGTTGGGCGAAGAGTCTGGCGGTTGCGCGAAACGGTTTTGATACGTATCGACGGGCGGTTCGGCGAAGCGGTTGGGCGAACGCCAGCTCAACCACCCTGGCGTTTTCCTCTAGGGCAGAGCCTGCGAAATCGATACGCATCTATTGCTTTTCGCCCAACCGCTGAACCGCGGCGGTTCGTCGAACGGGGCGGTTGGCGATTCTCCGATCAATAAGTATTTTTTGCTTTTCGCCGAACCGCCGTTTCGTCAGGAGTCTCAGACTGTGAACAATGCTTAACGAGGCAGCCGAAGGCCGGCTTCCTCCTCTCTTGACCCCAGCCCGCCTGTTTGCACCATTATCAGCTATAGATGCGCCAGTTCTATATATCGGTGATAATGATTGTAGATCGCTTGAGAATAGTGTAAGAGATGTAGTAGTGGCCGCACACATTCTTGTTCGCTGTTGATGTTGAAGCTTGCCAGGGAAATCGGGTTCGGCGTGGTACCGATTTTAAAGGGGGCAAGCGTTTACATTCGATGCTAAACGGGCTGGCGCCGCTCCAAATCCACCCCTCCCTCTGACGTGCCCAAGCGATTCTCCGCGAACACGACTGTATCTATTTTTGGCATCGGATGACCAGCGGAACACTGGACCAGTGGCGTGGATATCACAACCAGAGGTCCAGAAGATCTAACTCTGACTTAGTTCGTCAGGCCAACCGAAATTCGGGTGAACGGTCCTCTGAAATCCTCTAAAAGTGCGGTTTCGATCCAATAGGGGGGGAGAGGTTGACGCGGCACCAACCCGTTTCCCATTGATCGTTGCGGTTTCGGCCGTTCGATAAGAGGTTGGAAAGGTGCTGGCGCAGCACCAAAACCACGCGCCACTGGTGCTTCCCCTCCGCGCTGACTTCGGTGATAATGATTGTAGATCAATGGCGGCCATAGAGTCGTCTCCGCTTGTTAACGATTAAATATGAGGACTCTTAGAACTCTATCCGCGCGGAACGTGGGTTGCTCAAAGATGTGCAATGGAACCTCACACAGGTTCTCATCAGTATTTAGCCCATCTAAGCCTTGTTTGGAATTCTTACCATCGCTTTAAGCACAATTCTCAATTATTCAGCTGGTCACTGGGTTGTACGGGCACTGATCCGACAATCACGCGAAGTGTTGATAAATTCGATTGGTACATCGTACCAGAGGCGAATCCAGATGGGTACGAGTATAGCCGGATATCGGTGAGTCGCTTCGGACAAGCATGCAGAGGAATCGCTACTCTCAAATCCTGAAGCTCCTGTTGGAGTACAGTCATTAGTGGTACTCACTAATCCATTCAGGACCGACTTTGGCGTAAAACACGTTCACGCAATATCACTGTGAATAAATGGTGTGTTGGTGCCGATGCGAATCGTAACTGGGGACATCGATGGGGTGAAGCAGGAGCGAATCGCTCGCCTTGCTCGAACATCTATGCCGGTAGTCGGCCGTTCTCCGAACCGGAAATTGTTGGTAAGTAGGCGCGGTTGTTCAGACACAAACCCATCGCAGCCACATGCAAAGTAACATACCGTCGTGCATTCGAAAATTTTTTGCGAAATAACGATCCCCGTCTCTCCCTAGATTTTCTCGCCTTCCTACGCACTTGTCCCCGGGAATTTTTCACAAAGTTCAATACATTTCTATATAGAACTTCAGCCAGGCACATTATTGGTTGGGGATTTTGGTGAAGCCGCGCACGACCCGCCCCCGCCCTTTACGGGGGTTCCGTCACGACCCCCTATACCTAAACTTATGAAGTTTCTTCCCCCCCCCCGAGGAGGAAGAAACTTCATAAGTTTATGTATAAGTAAGCGCGAAAAATAGAAAAAGTAACAATCCTGAACGAGGCCCCCCTCGCTTTTTGCTCATTTCTATCCTGATTCAGACAGAAAAGAGAAAAAAAGAATAGAAACGAAAGGCTCATTAGGTTTCACGCACTTTTGCCTCGGAGTCAAAACAAATTAAACCTGGTACGCTGAATCAATGGCAATCACCAAGAAAAAAAAAACAGTAAATTAAGCGCATCAGTTCTCCTAAAAGCATCTCTGAGGCTGTCCGGAGCTAAAATTGCTGGAGTCGCTCTGACCGTATTCGATGTGAAACTGAGAAAAGATAAATAATTCCGATGTTCGAATATAACCGAGAAGAAAGATAACACAAAGGAGTAAATACGAAACGAGAGCAAACAAAGGGCGCAAGGCCACCTGCGGGAGGGATTCTGGCGGGACCTGCCAACCGCAAGGTGAGGTTGACAGGTGGTTTGATTGGAGCACGTGGATTTTCAGGGAGTGGGTGATTCTTAAAGGACCATAACTTCGCGTATAGGCGACCTTCATGAAAAAAGAAGAAGGGCAGTGGTAATGGAGACAAGGTTTTATCTTTCGCAAAACATACTAACGATGTGCATGGATAATCGCCGACTTCATGTAGAAATTTGTGTTTGGGGAGATTCAGGGAGTTCATTGTTTGGAATGTTTGGCGGCGCGAGCATTACACAGTTTGAACCGAGATATTTCCCTTGAACCTCAATAGTTTGGGAATCTGAAACCAGTATCGAACTCTGGTAAGATTTTCTCTTTCCAAAAACTACTTAAACTATTTCTGAAGTCTTCGGGATTCATGAGATAATTGCGTTGGGGATTATTTGGGGAACACTCCGAACTGTTCGAAAGTCCGTTTTCTGTGTACGGTTTCAAGCGAGCGTGTTCGAATAGCCAGAAATACATGTAGAACGTATCCTGTGGTGGAGCAGGAGCAGGATGTGGTTTGTTTAGCGCCAATCATGCTAACTTTGGATGCGCCGCGCATTGAGGTCCGCGCAGAGGTGATGGGATGGTGCAATTTGAGCGTAATGTCTGTCCACGCGAGCAAATGTGTCTATAGGATTCAGGAAGGTCCATGGCGAACCTGTGCACTGTTTACAGTGTTTTCCGTTGCGTATGATGGAGCGTGTCCCTGTCGACGCCGCCAGATTCGTGCTCCGCCAATTGCTGATTCCGATGAAGGAGACCAACTGCTGGAAAACGTCTGATACGAACGATATGGTAGTCCTGTCGTTTGTCGAAAAAAAACAGGTTGGCTCAGCGCCAAGCGCGATCGCGGACACGCCCCATCATCCGCAGCGAACCAGAGTATGAGTTGTACTGTTTAGTCACTTACGAGATGATGTCGACTTTTTATATTTCCAGTTATTTCAGATTAGTTTGATGAATGAAAGTTTTGTACTATTTTTTTTACATATCCGAGTTCTCTACAAAGCAAGCTTCGCTGTACAGTACTCAGCACACTGACGCTCGTTACTGGCTACCGCACTCATTACGACCCCCCTCTCCTGGCGGCCAAATACGACCCCCCTGTTGGGGATTCCCCACCAACCGATGTGGCTCATGCTTCCGACGCCGGGCTGGGGGAAGAGGTTAACAGCAGCACTGAAAACGGGAAAAGAGGTTTACCGTTAACGCCTTGCTATTTTGCCTCATGACAACGACAAGTGAACCCCTCTTTCCAACTCCCCCCCCCCCCCCTCCTCGCTGGGATACCCAGGATACGACGTGCCCTGATCTTATGACACCAGATGTGAGCATTTAGCCACAACTGTTAACATCGTATATTTGTCTGACCATATAGTAATGCTTGCTGCTCGACCATATAGTAATGCTACCATGCTATTCATTTATTTACTTGATTACTTATTTACTCAAGTTCGACCATCCAGTAACGAACAGTCGCAGTGCAGTTTTCTAGCGCGAGCCGCGGGAATTTCGAAAGCCTTCGTTTAGCACCGGTGTTAAAATATTAAAGTCGCCTATTTCTTCGAATACCATTAAATAGATGGATGAAAGGTCATATTTTAGAGCGCAGTTTGTCTAGACGTGTGGGTGGACTTTTTGTCCTCCTTTTTGATGTGCCCTCAATTCTAAGGCAACAGAGAGCGCGACAATGAGGAAGGCAAATGACTCCTTCAAAAAAACTAGCTTTTCGAAGATGATCTCTTGGGCCAAGCATTACCAAGGCACTCGTACACAGGGGATCCCCAGTGAGAGGGGTTGTTTTTGGTCGGTGGGGGAGGGGGAGAAGAGCGGTTCGCATTTTGCAAATTTCTTTTCTCAAAGTGCCCTGATCAAGACTATATTTGAAAGCCTTGTATAAATTGGGCAGAAAGGTAGTGTGTCTCGAATAGAAGCCCAATTGTTTGCTATACGAACCATCAGAAAATCTGTAGCGAGAAAAATTGAGTGGAGGCTCTTTAACTCTTCTATACAGAGCACATGAAAATTCTGGTCGGAAAATTTTTCGTTCGTACAACCCCTCCCCCTTGATAGCGTCCCTAGAACAAACGAAACCAATCATCAACCATA